AAAGAATCTATTTGTTTGTCAAAAGGAAGCGGAGTGGTCCGGATTGACAAAACCAAAGCGATGATACAGCGTGCGCGAGCGAATGAATGGATCGAGATCAATAGCAGCCTGGCGCAGGACCTCCTTGGTATCGCCCCTGTTAGAGTCACCCAGACTGGTAGAGCTACTCGGGCTGGTAGAGTCTGCCACATTGTCTAGCCATTGGCGCGTGGCCTGTTCGTACGCCGCAACAGAATGTACAAACTTGCGTTCAGCTGCCCGACGAGCATCAATGTCCGCCATCCTAGTGTTTTCATCGCAAGCAGGCGGTATATACTCGTACACAAACTGCTTTTTCCCGCCTAGCTCAGAGACCAGTACCTGGGGGTCAATATACGGAGCGAGCTCCTGGGCATTGCGCGCCATGACAATTTTTGACCTGACCTCGGGGTCGATAAACGGCGAGATAACCATCCACAGGCTTGAAAACACCCAAGAGTCGACATTCAATACGATAATACCCAGAGTCTCTGGATAATAGTTTGTCAACAGCGTTATAAGCGTGCGCACAAGCTTTGTGTCAATATTTTCGCGCGAAAATCCATTGAAATCGAACAGCATGGTCACCTTGCCGTCGCTCTTGGCAGTCAACAGCTGCGAGGTCTCGATCTGCCAGCAAAGGAATCTCTTTATCGCCAGGATATTGCGATTGCGAGCGACATTGGCGCGCACACGCACAACATAAACTGGGTTTCCCAGCCTATCCTCCATGCAAGCATACGCTAGCCCTGTGTTCATCGTGAGGTTGTGCAGCTGGGACTCGCCGTAGAATGCAATTTCGTCGATTGCCTGTCCAACCCGCCAAATAATTGTGCGCCGGATCATCTCCAGGGCCTTTTCGACATCCCATTGTCGCGCGCGCAGGAAGCGAAGCACCCAGGAGTCCGGATCGCCAATCTGTGTCGCTGCCTGCCAGAACGCAGCTCTGAATGTGCGCTTGAGCTTCGGTTGCTGAAACAAGGGTACAAAATCTATCGGGGCTACTGCACTACCATCGCCTTTACCATTCAGGTGCTCTTGTACTGTCTCATGCCGCTGCCGTATTGTCTCCTCGCTCTCCACATCATCCTTCCCCTTCTCTGCATCTGTAGACGCCGGGGTCGATGCTCTGCTGCTGGACTTTGGTAGCGTATTTGTAGCATTTTGCTGACATGTGCCCCATCCAAACCACCCTCCGGATTTGGGCTCCTGCTCCTTGGTGCTGATGGCCATTAGGGGCTCGAATGATAGACTGCCAATCTCCTCGCTCTTATCGCCTGCTTCGGCGGCCTTGGCCTTTTGCTGCTCCAAGCTGAATTTCACATCAATGTACTCTTCCTTGTCACATTCCTTGAGCAGTAGCTGCCACAGCTCGCGCAGCTTGGTGCTTTGCTCGCTGTTGAGCCATCCGACTCGGCCTTCGGTCAGCGGTTTGCCGAGCATATATCGGTCTACTAGCGGCAGTGTGGGCTCAGTCGCAAAATCCATGCACTAATGTCGAAAATGTATTTTGTATTTTCTAAATATTTATAACGAAATTCCGGATTTTTGAAAATGCGGGGAAGTATTTAAGCCTTGTGTCTGACTAGTGCTTTGTTTATGGGTTAAGCATGACGCTTAATGATGTAATTATATTTTTGGAAGTTATATGCATTTATTGGATTAAATAATAAACTCAGTAAATAAAGTGCTAAAAAAATTATAAATACAATGAAGGCTGCGGATCTGCCAGACGCACTGGCACCAGCACCAGCACCAGCACCCATAGCAAAGTTGGTTCTGCTATGGGTGCTGGTGCTGGTGCTGGTGCCAGTGCATGTAACAGAAACAGTTCTGCTATGGCAATATTGGTGTAAAGCTCAGGCTAAAGTGGCAGCGGCAAGCTAAAAAACAAGCGCAAGGTAAAGTGCGTAACAAAATAACAGCAGTAAGCGCAAGGCAAAATGCAAGACGGAAAACAGCAGCAGGTGCAAGACAGAGCTGGAGACAGAAAAACAGCGGTGAGCATAGAACAGAGAACAGCGGTGAGCAAATGGCGAGGAATCAGCGGCAATTATGATAAAAATTACAAGTACAATACCAATTTTGCCTATAATATGAAAAGTTACAAGTAAAAACATTAAAATAAAACAGCTAATATTACTTACTACATAAAACGACGCCATATATGAGTATGAAAATTGAAAATGAATGAGGAAGATAAAGAGTGAGAAACATGTCATCTCGTGGGCGCAAATTCTAGTCTTCTTTACTCTCATATTTTGCATCATTATTGGCATTTTGTTTCCCCACATTCTAGTTTGCATATACGCTTTTATTAGATTCTATGTTCATCGTGAGTGTATTTAAATTACTATCTTGTTCTTCCAGTACAACATCCGCTTTCTCTTTTCTTCAAACCCAATTTTATAGTTTAATAAATATTTAGTACTGTTGCTGTTTTCTAGTATTATTGTTGTATTGTAAAATAACTTGTTAATTGAAATAAAATTACTTTCCGCGCACAGCCCCTGCCCACAGCCACTTTACCACCGCACCCGCCAGAACCACCAGCTGTCATTGCCGGCTATTGTCACAACAGTGGCAATATCAGAAACAAAAACAGCAGCAATGGTGTGTGTGCACTTTCTGTACGAGAAGCAGGGCTACACCAACTTTAATACTACTTTCCACTCCTGCGCATTACCATGAGCAAGCAGTTTTTTGCAGGCCATCATCTGCCACCTCGCTGACTGCACATGCAATGAAGACCACCTGGCTGACCTTGTGAAGGATATGCATGAATGCTGCCAAGCGAGCAGTGATTGGCAGGAAATTTTATTTTTATTTGATATGTACATAAAAAACAGGGCATAGGCCTATTATCTGTTATTATAATATCTTGACACTAGAGCGGAAAGGGCTACCTTTTCTATTCGCAGCTTTACGGTTTGCCTTTGTGGTGTTATAAATTTGGAAATGATGTGAAAGCTGTACAAAAATATAACTTTTTTTGTAACCCGGGTTTTTTTCACTTTTATATAGCTTAAATTTTACAAAATGCGCCCAGATACTTTTACACAAAATAATTATTTGTAATGTTATAATAAGAGGGGGTGTGAGGAGCACTAGTTTCCTAGTGTTAGAAAAGTAGGGGTGATTTTATAAAAGGTTTTATTACTGATGTTTCTAAAATACTACTAGCGCCGGCCTCGTCTTATATATGTGCGTTGTCGCCTTTGTTGTGCACATTGCCAATCATGCGCTCCGTTGATGAAAACTGGATCTTCTGGGAGCAGACCGGTATCTTGTCAAGTCAGTGTTGTGGCTTTTGTGCGTGTGCGCTCATGTGTGTGCATTGCAAAATGGGAAGCATGTTTGGGCATCAATGTAATGCCTCCCTAATTTATGCCTGCATGATCCAACTAGTGTCCTATCAATCAGCATGCAGGTGGAAACCTGTCTCGCGATTCTCAACCTCAACATCCACTTCCATATCTTCAGTCTGTGCAACAATAACTCAAAAAGCTTGGTTTTACGTGAAAGGTGTGTAAAGACATTAATGCTGACTTTATAAATAATATATTATTATTGTATTATTGTATTATAAAAAACAAATGTATCTATTTTTACTATTTTTAAAAAAACAAAGACAAAAAGCCAAGTAGTTTTTCTAGAATATTTTAAAAATAATGTATGTAAAAATAAAGTATCTAACATAATAAGTTGTTTTACAAGTAAAATATATATATATAAGAATGCAGTAGCATTACATGCAATTACTTAGTATTAGAAGCAGTTTTATATTTTACATTTTTTAGACTATTTTCAAATCAACTCGATCAACTTTATATATTTATATTTATGCCCATCAGTGTAGAGGCCCTGCTCGGCCTCTTCAAAATGCACTGTTCCTACTTCCTGCCAATTCTGCGCAAGTATGTTGTTACCGTCCACCATATTACAACAGCTACATACGAGCTCGCACAGTATATCTTTTTACAAGAGCTGGGTAGCGAGGGCTTTAATATAGTCGACCATCTAAATCAAGGTTTCTTTAAGGAGTGTTTTATTGCCCTTTGCCTCGGAGATCAAAAAACCATGCAGCAACAACCTTAAAGCTGCAAACTGCAAACTCGTCAACAAGCACAGGCACACGTTTGTCAAGGAAACCAAGTTCGACTGCCCTCATCTCACTGGTGCGGCCAATATTGCTAATTATGAAGTATGACAATCCTCGCAGCATATAAATCACTTGTTTCAGCACTTTGGCAGGCAGTTAAAAATATGGTTGACATAGCACTTAATGTAAAGAAAAGGACTAAACAGCGGTACGAGATTATTAAGAGGAAGGGTGGCCATACCAAAAAAACAAATACAACAGTCCATTAGCAAGGAGATCATAATTCCAGCAGGCAAGATGAAGTGGGCTCTGCTGTGTGCTAAGACCAGCAAAGCTGGGAAGCAACTCGACACCAAACAAATTTCAGATACTGTGCTTCGCAACAGAATGGAGCATCTAATTGAGAGGATTTTTGGTGCATACCCTGAGGATTACGGTTTCGGCTACAAGGAGCTCCAGTATGACTCTGTGGCCAATACAGTGAACCATATTGGGGCGTTTGTTGATATTTTCCGTGTTTTGAGTCTCAACAAGGCAGTGAAGACGATTTTACTCTTCCCAATGAGGATGTCTATTGCACCAGGTTTTACTATGCTCAACAAGACCATTATTGCATGGTGTATTCTATCCATCACAAAGAGCCGACTCAAAGCACTGCACAAGGAGAATATTTGCCTAGGTATTGAGGTTCCAGAGATTCCACATCTGAAAGATCCCAAAGGCAAATCACCAGAATAAATTTGGTCACTCTTTTATGATATTTCATGTTAACCGTTTTTGCTCGATTTTAAAATGGACAAAAAACCACACAGTTTTGGTGGGATCATTCATGCTGATGGCATTGCAATTATCGTGTTGCTAGACTCGCCTGCCAACACACAGAAGAAGAGTATCTAGGCAGAGAGGATTTCACGGTCTAAAAAAGGATCTGGCAACAACAACAACAACAGTAGTGACAATTACGACTGCAATGGCAACAGCAATGATGGCAAACCTGTCAATAGTGTGCCCTACAGTGAGAAAGCTCCCGAGCACATTGATAATTTGTCAAAAATGACATTCATGATATTTTTGACAAATCAATGCCCTGTGATACCAGTCGACAGGATATGCTCTGTTGTCTGGGGTATAACAGCAATTACAAAAAGGGTGAGGAAGATTTTCTGCCACACTAAAAATTCTGAGGCTAATAAACGTTGTGAACGCGTTTTGTTGGATTCACAAAAACTCAAAAAAAGGTCTTCCAGCTTGATCCCGTGAAGCTCATCAATGCAAAAAATGGTTGGTATACGCCTGTTTAGGATGTCGAACGCATGTTCAACCACCCTGGCTCTAATACACTTTCTAGTACACTTGATTGCAAGTTGTATATCGAGTGCTTCTTTCAGTGCCAAAAAGGTGATTTTGTTTTAGGAGAGCACTATCACAACATGCAGATCCTTAACAAGAGTCGCAAGCATGACGGCAGCAGCTCAACTGACCCCCTGCACTACAAGTTATGTTATATTTTCTTTGTTACCAGAAAGCGCACCAACGCTGAACTTGCAAGATCTTTACATGCAAAATCTGGGCCAGATCCAGTCCTTATTCTTGGTAATTTGACCCCAGGAATGACCTGTTACCATGAGCCAATTTGTGGCAAGGGCTGCGGGAGATGTCAATAGGTCATGGATTCACTGTTTACTTGATCGACGAGTAGTGCACCTCAACGCTTTTCCCAGCATGTGAGAGCAGGATGGAGAAATTTAACAAAATTGATGATCCTCGTCTGAGGAATCCCAAGCACAAATATCACGTCGCAATGGCAGCAGCAGCATCTAATTTCATCACAGCCACAACAAACACCACTGCTAATTCCGTTGCAGCAGCAGTCACCGCCGTTTCTGTTGCAACCACAACTCCCGCCGACACTGCACCTATTATTGACAGTGTGTAGCAGAGTTGCAACCAGTAAATGCCTATTCGCCCACAGTCTACTGATATTATCCGGTGGATAGGGGAGGAGAAGGGCTGGCCTAAGGGCAAAATTTCCCGCAAAATTAAGTAGCAGCTGCGGGATGAGCTGGCTGAGCGGAATTGGAAGCAGTACATTAATATTCAGCCCGCTAATAATTTCAAGTCCATTGTCAGGCTGAGCGGCTGGTCGCAGGGCAAAATTGAGTTCAAAATTAGATAGAGGATGCGTGGTGAGTTGGCTGTGCAGCAGCAGTAGCAGAATGGTCAGCAGGAGCAGGTAGCCACAACAGGTGCTAATACAATTCCAGCAGTAGAAAAACCTCGCCAAATTTTATGACATGGCTTGCTCCAGTGCACAATGGAAAACGGCTTGCAAATTTTCAGGGCCGATGGAACGCGGGTTGAGGGTGGCGAAAAAGTGCCATCAGGCAGACGGAAGTGGAATAATCGCGACATGGCCGCAGTGCTGAACTTTCGCATAATCCTTAATGCACTGCTTAGAGGCGAGTGTCCTCCCTGTTTCTTGCGCAAAAAGACACCTTTCGAGTTGGCTGAATTTGAGTCTACAGCGACACCCGAGATGCTGATCAAGCCAAAGCCAAAGCCCAAGATCAAGCGTGTGTGCAAGAATCAATCTGTCCCTGCTTTTTCTCTTCAAATGAAGCAACGAAGTGGATAATATCGTCAACCATAGTGGTCTATTGCCACTAGTTTCTAAACACTTTTTGGGTTGCTAGTCAATCTGGAGGAAGGATGTCATTTTGTAAGATACTTGTAGTCTCATTCTTTTCTTTGGTCCAAATAACACAAATAATAAAAACAGGTTGGTTAGAAAAAATTTATAGACAAAAAAATTGATGTACTCGCAAAAGAGAAAATGAAAATCTGCAATTAATATATTTTCGACTTTCCCTACTATTTTTATGCGTGTTCACAAAAGACGAGATGCAAATAGCACAGTTAGTCGCTTTTTGCAGCAATGCAATAAAAAAGGTTGTACTCTTAAAAAATTTATTTTTACCAACCGGTGTTTAGGCAGCAATGTAGATCTGAAGCTCGGAATTTCATTTGTCGAAATTAATTAATTATTATCCAACATGCGATATGCATGTCCTCTCGCGAATATGAGTATGAATGAGATTGGGATATCTTACATGTTTTATTGGTTCTTTTAACCCTGGTTCAAGGAATTGTTAGAGTGGTAGAGCAGAAAATTGTTTTTAATTAATTAATTTGTGAAGTGGATGGATGAATGAAATAAATTTTGTTAAAATACATGTGCAGCGACAGTCCATGCTCGCTTGAAAGAAAAATTAAATAAAAAACTAAAGCAAAATGCCTATTTTTTATTGGCGGCCACTAAAAGTCGTCGCAGTTTTTTGGTTGTAGTGGGAATACGGATGGGAAGGGGGATAATAGAGTGAGAAGAGAGAGGGAGGAATATGATGGTGGTTTTATACGGAGTACAGACGATGATGACCAGGGTTATGGTTGATGAGAGGGTTTACAAGAATCCAGAGTATGAGGACGAATTGTAGGAAGAGAGAGACGACATCGAGGGCGTGCGCTTGCGAGGCGGCGGTGGCGGCGGGTACTTTGTAAACAGCGATGAGGCCTCAATGCGCTTCAAGTCATTGGCTGAAAACTCAATAACCTCCTTAAGAGTAGACATGCGACTGGTGCTCAACCAGTTAGTCACCGGCGCCTCCTGGTTCTGGAGCTCGGCGCAGCCCGGCAGCGACGTAAACTTCTTTGTCTGCATCTCCTCTTCCCACTCCTCGAGCGAAGATACCCGAGAGGTGGTCGACTCTGAACGAACCAGGCTCTGGTCATACTTGTCGATAATCCGCTTGAGCTCCACCTGCTGTCTGCTGATGAGCAGTGCCATTTGGTGAATTTTGTCCTCCAGGTTGTTGCACATGGCGCTGCCCAATGGGTTGCTCTTGAATGTGCTGAATTCTTGTAGGTAGCGGCCAAGCTGGTTTTGGCGCCCGCGGATGGAGTCTAAGAGATCGTACGCCTGAATGGCATTCTGATGCTCTTGGTCGATGGACCGCTCCTTTTCGAAGAGGAGGGTGTGCCCGTCGAGTGACGCTTGGCGGCGGTTGCGCGTGGCGGGTGATGACGATGACGATGAGTTTGTGTTGGACGGCACGCGCAAGGTGTGGATCGACCAGGTGGTCGCCGCGGGGACAGCTGATGTTGCTGGATACATGTTCATAAACATAGTTGGCTTTTGTATCGCTTGAGCCTGCTGGTTCAGTGGATGGGAGCTGAAAAAAAAGTAAAAAGAAAAAAGAAATTGATTTGGAAATAGTGTTGGTGATCGAATGGAATGATAAAAATAGAAGACGGGAAAACTGTTCCTTTAAATGTCGTTTGGTTTGGTTTCAAACGATGTTGAAAAAGGTGGGAATAAAGGAATGAAACTAAAAAATGATTTCTGTGCTAAAATGGAGATGTCTAGGAAGAAAAAGAAAATGACAATATATAAAAGGCTTGGAAACACTGCAGCTGTAATAATGAGAAAAATAACGCACCAATGTATTTGGCCAGATGGGATTAATTGAAATGAAAAGAGTGGAGGATGATGAAATGGATGTGGCTTTGCCTACGGCGAGTAATATTATGTATTCAAATACACTATCTTCCGTATATCAGTGTCCCAAAAAGGATAAATTAAAAAAGTTTAAAAACCGACTGAAAGGGCGCAGGCTGCTATTTTGAACGTATTTGGAAATTGAACTTGTTATTTTGTTCACAAGAAAATAGAGGGTGATAAAGGAAGTAAAACAGGAGTAAAAATGTAAGCTGGGATTTAAAATTGGGTAGAGTTAACGAGATGGAGAGATAGAAAGGTGGAAAATAAAAAATATATATTTGGCGATTTCCAGAGTGAATGGGCTATGAGCGCATCCGGCACTATTTATCTGCAACGACGATGATGATGACAACAACAACAAAAGTATACAGAGGGTAAAAAATACAAGGTCAGTCAGCCAGCCAGCCAAGAGTGGTCAGGCGTATTTTAAAAAATGTTTTATACTACTGCAAAAAGTGTTGCTTCACGCTACTGTTTAATTTCTCTTTCTGCCCAGCAATGGAAGCAGACTCCGCCCAGCTTACAAGGAGGAAGGGTAGAGGAGGGGTGGGAAGAAGAGGGGGGTGGGTTGGTGGGTTTGGTGGTCATGCTTTTTTTCAAAAGGGGCTTTCACTTTCCTCTCCCCTGCCAGTTCCTATTTGCGAGCCACCCTTTCTGCCTCCTAACGATCACGATGCGCTAAAGAAAAAACAGCTGCATGAAATCGCTTCCGAGCTCCTAACATCACAGGTTCCGAGCAAAAAACAAAATTGCTTACCACGCGCATGCCGTGACACCACGCTGCGTATTGTTATTGGCTGCCCTTTTTTATTTCAAGCAACCGAGGAAAAATAAAAGGCACATGTGCTTGTCTCGCCATATTCAGGGAAAAGAAAAAGTAAACATGGCCTGGACTGTCACAAAGGCGAAAAAGCAAACCACTTGATTCACACTCTTTTTTGCATTTTTGGCCTGGCTCAATTTATCACTTGACTTTTGGACCCAGACTGTCTGCCATGATGTGAATTTTTGATTTCACTTTTATTTGCTGTTCGGATGTCGGCTAACGACATGCATTAATGTATTCCCCATTTGCCTTCTGACATGCAGGAGCTGAGTGCAAAGTAAAAGAGGGAAGGGAGAAAAAGTAGTGGTCGAGTTGGTATTTGGAGCACCCATTTCCTGTGCTCTGCCAAAATTGCCTCCTCCAGCAGCATAAGGCACTAATTCCACGACAATTAATGCACGGCATGCCCATCCTGTCTCCCCAGTATTATCAATCACACAGAAAGCAGAAATTGCAATTAATTCTGCCCCAAAATTTTCCCTTTACTTCAAACAACAAATAAAAAATAAAAAACCAACGTGGGCAAGCCATGTGTGTTGCCGATACGTGGAAAATACGGCTTCTATTTTCAGGACCACCAGGAAAGCGGAAGTTCCAAATATGATGTGAAAAAATTTTACATCATATTTGGGGTTGTTACGGCTCGTGGGATCATTTTTTATATTTATTTTTGAGTTTTTGTTTCCGACAAAATTGGTTTAATAAAAGGCCGAACGCGGCAAACAACAACAGGAAAAAGAAACAATACCCTGCAGGTGCTTGCCAATTACTCAA